AATTATTAACTTACCTTTGTTTGCAAGTAATTTACGTCAATTTGTGTAGTGATTGCATTTGAAGCGCATTTATTGCAAATTATTATACAATTGCATTTTGAAGTGCATTTGACAATATTAATTTTGCTCGTGGGACATTTGATATAGTTCGGAGACATTTTCCTTTGTCGGTTAAAATGCTGAACCTTGTGACTCGAGAAGAAATCGCGTTCTTACGTGTGGTTAGAATTTTGTTACTAAGTGAAAATGGAAGTTGAACTTTGATCACCCGTTCATTAGTTGTGCCATGTGTCACGTGTTTGATTTCGATGAACGTTGAATTGGTTGACTTTGAAGTTAATTATATGTACAATAAAGTTGATAGACTGAAATAGTTAAGTGACGTCACACCTGAGTTCAGATAAAGTGAACTATCACTGGAGGATCGCACTTTTGGAGAAACGCAGCGCCTGCGGATCTGCGGTTCGAGTTCAACGGTTAAGTCAGGTCACACTTTGTACACACTACTATACGCTACTTACATGCACCTCACTTATCACCTGACCGGTACCCTGTGGTCAACCCTACCTCCTGAAATAGGTAAGTGCTTGCTTATTTGTCAGCCGTTTTTTTTTTGTAAGTTTAACCATAGGCCGTTGGGCCCCGTTCTCTGTTGCCCGTCGATGGGATTACTCATGGGCCCTAGTCCAGTCAACCTTTGTTGGGACAACTCAGGGCGTGAACAATAACATTAAAATTAACATGTTTAGGGACTCCAACAACAGCGTAAAATAACTTACCAAACGCGAGAACAGAAGAAAGAAAGCGCTGATGCAATGTTAACCTTAAAACCACCATGTGATTGTAAACGTAGAAAAAAGTGTATGACAAAGTTTACAGAATAAATATGAACAGTTATCCACGATTGGTACCTAAATTTAAGTCAAGTCAAACTTAAGAGTCAATAAGGGTGTTTATAAAAGTCATAGTTGAACCACATACCGTAAAAACTCGAACAAAAACGGATAATATAACTATCAAAAAAATCATTTTTGTGTTGACAATAAAAAAATAATAACCAACCAACCAACAAATAATAGACACACATTCATCTGGCCCTAAGTAAGGAAGATGATGACCAAAGAGACATACAGGGAAGCTATGAAAGTAAAAATCCATTAGACAAAAACATAATTAAAAACATATTCAAAGTTTAAATCCAACAATATCCATACAATTATCGCCGCGAACATGCCCGCAGTAAGTTTTATTTACCCAGTAACATAAATATTACGATGACGTATTGGTGCATTATCTTAATATTTAAGTAATATAATATATAATTTATATATTTTATAGAAAAATATACTAATATGCATATATCTCTCAAAACATATCGCAAAGTTGTAAAAGAAATGAACGTTTCCTTTGGTCATCTCGGTTACGGGGGATGTGAGTATTGTGCTCTAAATGATTCTCATAATGAACGTTTTCAAGAAAGATGTGAACTGTGTGTTCAATATGAAAAATAAGCTGCGCTACACACAAACTAGACAAGAATACCAAAACGGCAGGCAAGCATTTTCTACCGACTTAATTATATAATTTGAGTAAACACTGTGGTCTGATAAAAGAAGAACGGTCATCTTTGACCCAAACCCGACAGAAGACCCGACAAATCTTAGTTTTTTGTTATTTTTTATACAGTTAAATTATATATTTTTTATATTCGAAATCAATGGCTAACACCAAAATATTGCCTTATGTTTTTGTTCAGGCGATACACAAAAAAATACAAAATGCTTATTTATCTACAAAATTCGTAATTGTATGTAACTAAATAACGTGAAAAAAGCTATGGGATGTATCGAGGTGACCTGGAGATGCAGCTGGATTATGTAATTTTTTAAACTTCTAGTACAATAATCAACTTGGATTTATTAAATTATCACGTAAGGTTAGCACGATCGTACTGCAGTGAGCATTTGTCAACCCCGGATATGGATCTCCATAGACATCCAGCGGCAGTAGAGGGCAGAAACAATAATACTTTAATCAGGTGCCGAATTCATTCACGACACGTTACGACAAAAATGTATTATGCTTATATTATGTTTGATGAGAATATAAATGGTATAAATGCAATAACAGAATATAACAGCTCGTGCTACCATGGTAAAAGGATATTGGGAAGTTACTCACACCTCCTTAGTATTGTCTATTACTTAGGGTGGGCTAAACATCGAGATCACTTTGATGGGTGGTCAAAGTGATCTCGATGTTTGTACTGGGAATGGATTATGTTTTAAGGGACATAGAAATTCAATAAAACTTTTTTTCTACATATCGGTTTTATTTTATTATAGATCGTGGAACCCCAATGATAAGAACCTAAATCTCTGATGTGCAATGAATCATCGAATACAACGATTTTAATGAATCCCAAGTTGATTGTTGTACTTGGAGTTCAAAAATTATACAATCCAGCTGTATTTCCAGGTCACCTAGATACATCCCATAGTTATTATATCGTCATTTAGTTACATACATTTACGAATTTTGTAGATAAATAGGCATTTTGTATTTTTTTAGAGTAACGCCTGAACAAAAGCATAAGGCAATATTTTGGTGTTAGCCATTGATTTTGAATATAAAAAATTTACAATTTAACTATATCTCTGACTACCTATAACAAAAAAACTGAGATATGTCTCGTTTCTGTCGGGTCTGGTTTTTTTTCGATGGGGCGTGACCGTTCTTCTTTATTTTTATTTTTAGGGAGTAAAGTTATATATTTATAACATTTTTCACAACAGTTAATATTAAAAATTAATATTTTCATACCCAGTAATTTTTTTTCAATCATTTTTCATATTAACTTATAATATTCTTGCAATCAACCGCCGCTGCATTGTGACTGATAAATATTTTACTAATGAAAATTGCAATAACTAGGACATTTATTGCACTTATGGTTGGAAGAAACTATAGGACATACAGTTTATGCTCTACTCAAAAGAGCAATTTGTCAGTTTACTAACAATAACTGCAATAAGTAGTCTACTTATAGCGGTTATGATTAGTCACGCTTTATCAAAACAACACTCCTAAAAGATAAATACATTATTATGTTTTAATGCCTATATAAATGTGTATAAAAATTATAGTCGTGTTGACAGCAATTTTCTTAGGCCACACTAATGTACGAATGTACTTTGAGTAATTTAGCGTTAGCGAATCCAAAGCAATTTGAAAAATAATTTCTATTTTCTTTACTTTTAATTTATGTTTCCAGAATTTTTTCCACTGACCGTTAGCGAATGGTCACATTCGCTAGGGTGAAGAAGATTCTTAACTTGATAGAATTCGCATTAGAATTAAACTATCCTATTACTAACAGACGACATCAATGTAGGGCGCTCCTTCTTGATATAATAATTTAAAATTTAAAATTTTGAACAGCCTACTTCAATATAAGTTATTTAAGAATAACTCAAAAACTATTGGTCTCACCTTGATTAAATTCTTATGGGACCACAGGAGAACTATCAGCTTTCATATAACAAAAGCATCATCGAAATCGGTTCACTCAGTACAAAGTTATGAGGTAACACACATAAAAAAAAACATACAGTCGAATTGAGTACCGTCTCCTTTTCGGAAGTCGGCAGACAACAATTTGATATGGATGCAGGGAGTCTATGGTTGCAGCCGGCTTACGGCCGTACCTTGGAGCAGTTTATGGTGAAACTGTGATTGGCTATAACTATAATATTAGTAATAATAATATATTTGCCTGTTAGTAATAATTCTTAATAACTTATGTATAACTAAAGTTACAGCCTATATACGTCCCACTGCTGCGCACAGGCTTCCTCTCATTTCTAAAACAGTTTAGGGCAAGAAAATGTTGATGCTGTCCCAATGCATGTTGACGAACTTCACATGTCTTTAAAACATTTATTTTTCCCGATGTTTTCCTTCACCGCTGTGCACGTAAATCAGCACTTAAAATTATTGCATTGGTTTATTGTTAATCTATCCGTGTAATCATATTCACAATTAATTGAAATACATACATTATACCTGGTAGAGCCATGCTCCAGCTGTATTAGTAGTATAGTCGTAGCACGAATGGGTCGGCTCGACCGGGAAAGGACCACGCTCTCACAGCGTAAAATAGCAGCTCAACATTACTGTGTTTTTTATGGTGAGTGTAGAGAACCAGAGACCCTTTTTATTGAAAAAGAGGCATTCCATGTTAGTCCTCACGGGTGACAACGCATCTGCATTTTGATTTTTTATTGGGGATAGATGTAGATTTCTATGGGTCACAGCAACCACTAACCATCAGGTGGACTGTGACCTCGTATCACCCTATCCTATTAAAAAAAACTATTTTATCGCTACAGCAATTTTTTTGTTTACTTTTATCTATGTTGATTTAAAACTTATATGTGGGCATATAAATCATATAATTTTAACTATAAATGCCTAAAAGAGTAAACGTCACATTTATAATGAAAAAAAAAGCTTTCGTCATATAAATACAAAGGAGTATTGCTAAATTGACTATAAAATAGAGGTTAACGTTTTTAAAACTAAGCAATGTCACAGTATAAAAATTTTCTTTGTTTATTTCTATTTTTTAAAGCAAAATTTTTCTTTGTTTTGCCAAATCATGATATAGCTACGCAATATATACGAAACACATCAGAAATTCCAATATTTTTAGTAATATTATGTAAAATAACACTATGTATTTCAAATAAACTATAATATATTATATTATATAAAGTAGGTATCTGTCCATATTACTGAAACCGATAAATTTTTCTGCATTTTAGTAAATATTCCGATTTATCTTATAGGTTTTTAGTATGTTATTGGTGTAAAATGCTTAATAAATTTAAAATGTAAACAATATAAAAGCGAACAAATGTTAACGTTTAATTATTTCAAAAACAATTTTCAAATTAATGAAAATTATATACGTAATAAAAAATTAGAACAGAACAAACCTGTCTTCGAAAAGGGTTATTTTCTTTTGAATAATAATCCTCTTTCGTCACATCGCTTCCATTTTCAACGGGACTTTTGTTGATTTTCTCTAATTCAGACACTGAGTTCCGGTCCATCTTGATTCGATCCACTTGTTACACTGCACCGTCGTGGTCGAAACATTCGGCAGCTGTATGTTACGTCAATCAATTTATTTGATTACGGTTTATCTTAACACTCATAAATATCTCCGTATTACATGCACAATGTTAAACACACTGCTTAAGTTTATATGTCAGTGTAATGAACTTATTTTACATGCTGAATAGAAAGTAGTGTATTTTCCATTCCCAAGTGAAAATCTATCAGAAATATTTAAAAAAAAATAAACAAGTTCATTCAACACTGGCCAAAGTATTTTTAGTAATTGTGAATAAAAAAATACGAGTCGAACTGCTAACACGATCAACTTTCTATTTTGTGACATCTGTAAGTTCATTTTTAAACATTAGAATCAGTTTTTATGCAAGCTTAATTAGCTATTCTGTATGGCATACACAATGTATGCAATAAGTGTCGAAGTAAATCGGTTTGAAGACTATATCATTATTTCAACCCAGGTGTGCAGCAGATTATACATATCTATTAAAACTTTTAACTTACGAAATTCGGAACTTTCGAATGGTTAAATTTGCTATCGGTGAGACCTTCGAGCCAAGATTAAATATTATATACTTTTATAAAGGTAAGTGTATTTTAAAAGACTGTAAAATGGTAACGTCGCCTGCATCACCACTTACTATCATGTGGGATAGCAGTTAACCACTGACTAATAATAGTTAAAAGAAAGTAACGGCCTGTTAAGGGACTGATGAAAGAAGAGTATTATTTCATAATTTATTTATTGTTTTTTTTAGACTAATAAATAATAGTTTAATAAAAAAAATATTATTAATTAGCGTGACTCAACTGCGAGTTATTTCGTTTCAGTGACACCGATAGCAGTTTCTCAGTCAAATGGTATACATACATCTTTATCGCTAAACAAATCATAAATGAATTGTGAATAAACTGACAACTCATCGGTGGCTGATAAAATGTAAGACTAATTATAACATACAAATGCAGAAACTTGTTAAATCGCAAAAGCATATTTTAAAAAATGTTTTGTAATTATTTTATAAGTTAAGTCCTTTTAACACCCATGAAGGTCTAAATTTCGTCCTGCAAAACAGGTTTCACAAGAATGTAACAGAATGCCACTGAAATATTTGCCCGACCAACTATGAGAACGATTTCTTATACCAGAATTACCTTAGTATTATTATATACAAAATTTGCTGATTTTTTAAGGACTTTTCGACATAAAAGTGTTTATTCATTAGACGTTATATTATTATAAGGCAAAGGCATCTATTACCGCGGTATTATTACTAAAACTCGAAAGGAGATCGAAAATTAAGCATTTATTGTACCCTTTTGAAGGTTTGGTTATTTTTATCACAACTATAATTGTTTCTACTCTTGAAATAGACAATAAGTTTGGCAATTAGTTTTTACTTGTGTTCTAAATTAATCAAATATAAAAATAAATCGGAGGCACCTTATTCCGATGTAAAAGTCCTTATTCCGATGAATTTGGTTCCTAATTCCGAGTGTACAAAATGCAAAGGGAAAAGGAAGAATAATATATGATGTTCATTATCTTACAACTAAAATTATTATTATTTAAAAATATGAATAAGTAAGTATATTATTATCTTTGCCCTATTATGTAGGTACGTAAAAAATTGTGGGGATAGATGGTTTGGTTACATAATAAGCATCCATCCTTATAATCAATATTATAAACATTTCATACTTTTCTTTTTATTCAAAATTGATTGTTACATAATACTTATCGAAAGCCATTTTTATTTACCACTGGTTCAGAATATACCTCTGTCCTGGGAAGAATCAGCAAGAAAACCGGCAGGACTTTTTTTAAAACATATTTTACTTAACAATAATTTTGTTTATGCAATTTTTAAATGAATTTTCATAGAACCGGCATGGTGGCGATCACCTTATTCCCAGGGGTTATTTTCATTCATGCATTCCTTGATGTTATAATAACCCTTTTTGTACAGTTTTTCTTTAATAAAACTTTTAAACTTGTTTATTGTCAAACTTTGAACATGTTCTGGGATTTGGTTGTAAAAGCGTTTGAACATTGAAGCGTTACAACATTGCCCCATAAATAAATTACTGATTCTGAGGAGTCTAGTAACTGGCATTACAAGCTTATGTTTGTTCCTAATGTTTCAGTTATGAACATCCTTATTCTTATTAAAGCTATTTATGTTTTATGTACATACATTATTCATCGTCTACTCCGAAGTATGGTGCCACTCACGCTAACATCGAGGTTGCATTCTGCAGGCGCCGCCATGTTTGCATTTGGATTAAGATGCGGTCTTTTTTGCATCTTATCCTTGGGGGCGGGTTTGCTTCTCGGCGGACGACTCCAAAAATTGTTGCCGATTCTGTCGCTTCAGGAATAGGATTTTTTTTCATATTCTGTGGTACCCATCAGAGGCAGATCCCAGCCATGGTTTAGTCGCTCCTTTAAAATAGCATCACGCTATAAGGAGCAGTGCTACCGGGCCTGGGCTGACACATCAAGGTCTGGGGATGTAAGCACCAGCGCCCTTCAAAAAAAGTATAACTACGCCTCCAGAAATCCTTCAAAAAAGTCATTGCAAAAGCAAGGACATAGCAACTCGGCAGAATTGGCGAGAAACTAATTCGCCTTCCTTCGAGGAACGTCTGAGAGCTATCTCTCCAATCTCTGCACAGGGAAGATGACTTACTGACCCATGCCGCAAAGGAGAAGGCCAATCTGTTAGGCTCTCACTTTGCGTCAAACTCGACTCTCGATGACGGGGGAAGACACGGCCGACCGTCCCCCGGTGTGAGTGCTCCATGTCAGATGTGCGGTTTAGACAGCGTATAGTTTGCAAAGCACTCCTCTGACTGGACGTCAATCAGTCAAGTTGGCCCGATGGAGTTCCTCCCATTGTGCTGAGATGTGTGCTTGTTTTTGAGTTGGCACCGGTTTTAACAAGTTTTTTTCGTCTTTTCCGGTATTCATACTGCCAAGGCGTAGTCCCAAATTCATGGAAGTTAGATTTGGTCCACCTAATCCTTAAAAAAGGCGACCGCTCAGACCCGTCCTAGGCCTATCGCCATCACCTCCATGTTCTCCAAAATAATGATAGCCATTATAAACTGCCAGTTCATGAAGTACCTTTAGGATCACCAGCTGATTAGTGACCGCTAGTACGGTTTTCGTCGGGGTCGATCAGCTGGTGATCTTCTGTTCTAGCGGCAGTAGCGTCAATACAGAAGCATTGTCCGTTAGTTTGGACATAGCAAAGGCTCCCTTTCCTTCTATGGGGTTCCCAAGATATTATGCAATTGGATCACCAGTTTCTTTGCTGATCGGAACATCAAGGTCATAGCAGACGGTGCATGCTCCGATTATAAGCCTACTAATGCTCGTGTTCGCACAGGTGATGAATCATGTCATCGAGTACCAGAACAAACTTATGTCTTTTTTTTAATAGGAGAGGGTGCAAAAAAGGGTCTGAAGTCGAGTCATTGTTAGGCAAAGTCTCGGATTGCGTACGACTAAATCTAGTCCAGTTTGAACCTCATAATACACAAGTTTGCGCACTTACCGCTAAAAAGAACCCCTTTGTCGTATCTTTACAATTTTAGGGCACTCCCCTTCCTGCCTTAGCCAGCATCGAAATCCACTTGGAAGGGAATGCTAAATTGGCCTCTTCTCGTTGGACTGATCTCAAATCTGGGCCGAGGCACCCATATACCAGCTCCTTTCACTTGACCGCATCCAGTGCAGAGCGGCTCGAATCATCGATGACCAAGTTCTTTCTGATCGGCTCGATTAACTGACTCTGCGAAGTGGTGTTGCATCTCTTTGCATTTTCTGGCGCATCGACCACGGGGAGTGCTCTGAGGAATTTTTCGGATTAATTCCAACCGCCAAATTTCACGAACGTACATCGCGACAAAACTCACGATACCATCGACACCATCTGGATGCTTGGTAGTCCACCACTGTGCTTTACTAGAAGTTGTGGAATCGTTTACCACTGGCGGTTTTCCGGACCGATACGACTTGGGGACATTCAAGAAAAGAGCTTATTCCTTTCTAAAAGGCCGGCAACGCACATGCAATTCCCCTGATGTTGCAGCTGTTCATGGGCAGCGGTAGTCACTTACCCTGATGGTGAGCCGCATGATCGTTTTCCCCCTTTCCTATAAATAATATAGTTGAGAATTATTATCCATAAATGTTTACAACTACGTATCTAAGTTTGTGGAAGTTATTATTAAGGAAATAAGAACCTACGTGTTATTAAAACTATAATGGAAAGTACATAGCAAGCTACGCAAAATTGTGAACACTTTTTATTTTGCGGGTGTATATGCCGCGGAATAAAGTGCTCATAGAACCTTATCCCGACCTACCACATCGGAATAGTATTTTATACCAAAAATCTTGTTTTATAATTCCGAGTATAAAAAATGCAAGATTTTTGCATAATTTATATATAGGTTAATACTTAATAAGTACCTATACTAAATAGCGGTAAATAATGCCAAATTTCTCGTATATATAATATATCACTAAAAATTACATCGAATTTTGTATGAACTTAAAATTTCCTTCTTAGCTTTCCCGTACAATTAATTAAGAAAACACCTTAATGAATCCCTTTTGACATGCTACAATTAGTGAATGAAACGTAAAAGTACATTTCGGAAATAGATTTTAGTCTTTATTGTCTTTTTAAACTGTAAAACCCAAAGCTGGAAAGGCATAAATAAGGCCTAATCATGAAAGCAATCCTGAAAATTAAATAAGAAATCAAGTATCTGAAATCGCTATTTCACGGTATACATCAGAATAAGGAACCGGCTGAAATATTTGGCACCTAATTCCGCGGCCTTTTCATGACGTATTTTTACCTTGATTTATTTTAAAAAAAAACATACAAAAGTTTAGTGTTTTCGATTAAAAATATAATCCATGAAATATTTTAACTCAAATACTTTAACTGTAACACAC